CACTCCTGACATTCATATGGAACAGCAAAACCCCACAAATAGCTAAAGCAGTTCTGGAGAAAAAGAAGACTGGTGGCATCACCTTTCCTAACTTCAGACTCTACTACAAAGCTATAGTAATTAAAACACCATGGTATTTGAATAAAGACAGACTCACCGAACAATGAAATAGAGTTGAATATCCTGGCACAGACCATAAAATATACAATCAGCCTATCTTTGATAAGGGAGCAAGAAATATGAAATAAAGCAAGGAAATCCTCTTTCACAAGTGATGCTTGGAAACTAGACAGCTACTTGTAAAAGATGAACTCTGATCTCTACCTAAAGCTATGTACAATAGAGTTCTCAAGGTAAAGGTAAAGGTAAAGGCCCTCCCGTTGTTCATCGATTTGCTCGAGCGGGCCCAGTAACATCTCCATTGGAGATTTTGTTGTTACTGTGTTTGGCATATCGAATACATCACGGGTGGCTTGCCAGGCTCTGCCGTGCGGGTGAGATACTCTTGGTAGCTTGCCAGGCTCTCCGAGAGGGGCGGAGGAATCGAACTCGGGTCGGCTATGTTGGCTGCGTGCAAGGCAAACGCCCTACAGCTGTGCTATCACTCCAGAGTTCTCAAAATGGATTAAATACTTCAACATCAGACCTGAATTCATAAGATACATGGAAGAACACATAGACCAAAACCCTTCATGAAATTGAAGCTCAAGGCATCTTCAAAGTTGAAACACCACAAGTGGAAGCAAAGATTAACAAATGGGAATACATTGAACTAAGAAGCTTCTGTACCTTAAAAGAAACAGTGACCAAGATACAAAAACAGCCCATAGAATTGGAAAAACTATTTACCCAATACCCATCTGATAAGGGATTAATATAAAAAATATACAAAGTACTGACAGAACTTTACGAGAAAACAAGCAAACACTCAACCCCATCGAAAAATGGGAAGAAGAAATGAACAGAAACATCCTCAAAGAAGAAATTTAAGTTGCCAAAAAGCATATGAAAAAGTGCTCTTCATCACTAAACATCAGGGAGATGCAAATTGAAACGAGATATCATCTCATGCCTCAGAGATTGGCACACATACAAATGAACAAGAACAACCAGTGCTGGTGAGGATTCCGGTAGAAAGGACCCTCATTCATTGCTGGTGGGAATGCTGACTCATCCAACATTTTTGGAAAACAATATGGACTGTCACTGTCACTGTCCTCCCGTTGTTTATCAATTTGCTCGAGTGGGCCCAGTAACGTCTCCATTGTGACACTTGTTACTGTGTTTGGAACATCGAATACATCACGGATAGCTTGCCAGGCTTTGCTGTGCAGGTGAGATACTCCCTGTAGCTTGCCAGGGGCATTCCTCAATAAACTAGAAATTGATCTCTCATTTGACCTATCAATACCACTTCTGGGAAGATACCTTAGGTGTCCAAAGATATACCGTAGAAACACCATCTGCACTTCTGTGTTTATTGCACCACTATTCACAATGGCCAGAGGCTGGAAACAACCTGAATGACTGAGAACAGAATTATGGATAAAGAAACCATGGTATATTTACACAGTGGAATACTACACAGCTATTAGAAAAACTGAGGTCATAACATTTGCCTATAAATGGATAGACTCAGAGAATGTCATACTGAATAAAATGAGTCAGAAGGAGAGGGACAGATATAGAATGGTTGCATTCATTTGTGGGATTTAAAGAAAGCCAGTATGACACTAAAACCCATTGCCAGGGAAAACGGGCCAGGAGGACTGATGAATGGTTGGTTAAAGGTGTGGAAGATGGATGGTAGTTGAGATAGAGGAGGAGGATCCATTATGACTTTAACTGGAAATAATCATCTGGACAAGAACTAAGTCTTAAAAGCAGACAAAGGAATATATGTGATAATCTTTCAGCATCTGTATTCAAATATAACGATTAAAATGAGAGAGAGAAAGAGAAAGAGAAGAGAGTTACCTGCCATAGTGGTAGGTTGGGGTGGGGGTTACATGAAGGGGTAGGAAGAAAACTGGGGACACTGGGTGCTGGGAAATTACACTGGTGAAGGGATGGGTATTGGAACATTGTATAACTGAAACACATGCTGAGTAAATTTGTAATGCTCTATCTCATGGTGATTTGATTAAAAAGTACATAAAGGAGTTCACATCCAATTCAATCAGCATAATCAATGGCTGAATAAATAGCAGTGCATTATAAAAATTAAATAAAAATAAAAATATATTAAAAAATATATCACGGTGATTCACTAATGGGACTGGAGCGATAGCACAGTGGGTAGGGCATTTGCCTTGTGCACGGCCTATCCAGGCAACTGGAGTTCGATTCCTCTGTCACTCTCGGAGAGCTCAACAAGCTACCTAGAGTATCTCACCTGCACGGCAAAGCCTGGCAAGCTACTCCTGACATATTTGATATGCTAAACACAGTAACAACAAAGTCTCACAATGGAGACATTACTGGGCCCACTCGAGCAAATTGATGAACAACAGGAGGACAGTGCAGTGCAGATTCACTAATAAAAATTTTTAAAAAATGTATATCAGATGCAATAAAGATGATGTTGGAGGAGAAAAAATATTCTAAGTGAAATATTAGGAAAATTCTAGTGGCATTGAATCTTGTGGATAATTTGGATTTCGCTCAGTGAAATTCAAATTGTACAAAATAAAGCATATTTATTGTCACTTAAAATTACAATAAAAATAATTAACATAAAAACAATGATAATTATAGACGTAATGTTTAATTATCAATAGAGAACCTCAACAATTTGAGGATTAAGAAAACCAGGTCAGATAACTCTTGACTGTGCATCAGGGCCACCCCAGTGCAGTGAATGAACAATATTCTGAGATGCAAAGATCTGTCTTGTTTTTTAACATTCTAGTGATTCTTTCTCATATTCAAGACTGATATCAGGAATCAGTTCTCTGAGTTTGCTCCCATGAACATTGCTTCAAAGTGTGGATGAAATCCCCAAACTGGGGCATCTGAATGGAAGAAGAGTGTCAGGGTCTTGTGGATGTCTCAGAAGACGGAATGCATTTAAAGCAGATTCTGAAGCTTCTTTTCATCCCATTTTCTTTTGGTCACACCACTCAGAAAGGGAAGGTGGCAGCAGAGACTGAGGTGGTAACAGCAGGATTTGAGGAAATAGCTGTGGGAAACAGTTCACACTTCAGTATCTGTTTATTTAAGGAATACTTCACTGTGTGAGTCCTGGTGCTGCTCTCCTTCTGAAGTACCTTTCCTGGAAATATGGGCATCTCCTGAGAGAAGGCCCTGCACATCAAAAGTCTCCTAGGTTTTGATGATATTTTTCATCACTCCCACCCTGTCAGAAAAGGTTTCGAGGGGCTGGAGAGATAGCACAGTGGGTAGGGCATTTGCCTTGCATGCAGCCGACCCAGGTTCAATTCCCAGCATCCCATATGGTCCCCTGAGCACCACCAGGAGTGATTCCTTAGTGCAGAGCCAGGAGTAACCCTGTGTATCGCCACGCATGACCCAAAATGCCAAAAAAACAAAAAAGGTTTTGAGAAGATAAAAATTCCTCAGAGCAACTGATAATAGATTTCTAAAAATTAGTCTCCATGAGAATTCCTTGTCTAATGTCTCCATGATAAAATATTCTAGAAAAAGATACCCTTCATGCAGTTGCTCCTTATTTATCCCCCTTCTCCTGTGCCTAGAACTCTGGTAATCTCTGAACACTCTTAATTCAGTCTTATCCCAAGGACTCATCTGTTTCTTGGATGTTGAGAATCTATTAGAAAAATCCACCACTGCGCGAAAGTTTTGAGAGCAGTGTTTTAATGTTTCTTAACTTCACATAGGTCCTGGTCATGTGTGATTTGCAGACTGGCCCCCTCTGTTGACTTTTCCCTTGATAGAGCGATCTCCACCCCAACATTCCCCAACAACTTACAGTCACATGCTCAACTTCTTGTAGAGGTAAATGCCAGACACAGCAATCACCAACAGCACCTTGTTACAAAAGAAGAATCCCAGGATGAAATGTATGTGGGATGGTCCTGGAAATCAATGCACAAGAGTTTACTTAAAGGAGCTATAGAGAAGTCTCAGGCAACTCTAGTTCTTCCATCTGTGATGCCAGTGCTGAAACTATGCTGAAACTTTTGAACTTCACTGCTGTCCTGGTTCAGGATCAATTAAGAAATCAAGGTAAAGAGTTCCCTAATATTGGGGAAGAGCCATAGACCAGGGAGTATGGTGTTTGCTTGCATGTAGCCAACCTGCGTTTGATTCCTGGAATTCCATATGGTTGTCCAAGTACCACTAGGAATAATTCCTGAGTACAGATGATGAAGTGACCTCTGAGAATCTCCACTGTGATTCCTCCCTCCCCCCCATAAAAGATTCTTTATTTCATCACTCACAGGCTAAACTTCCAAGGTTGTCCTCATTGAAGGAGAGTCAAGAGAAAGCATAGTCAGATATCAAAATTCCTTATTTAATCTACAGAATTGATCCTCAGACTAGAATGTGAATCTTCTCAATGGGGTCCCAGGCATGGGGGATTGAAAAGTCTCCATAGTGGGTGGGTCTGAAACTGCACAGGGTTCAAGCTCTGACCTGTGAGCAGACAGATCATAAGGGAAGAGCTCCCTCCATCACTTAGGCAATTCCACAGCAAAGGACAAACCAAGGAGACAGAAATTGTTAGACAAAGTGAGCTCACGCTGAGGGAATCTGCTTATTGAAAGAGTCACTAGCACAATGCTTAGGCCTTAGCAAGGTGATTAAGGAATGTTTTCGCCTATCAGGATAAAAATGTGAAGTCCACAATAATGTCCCTGAAATGTAACAAGAAAATAGTAACTGTTCTAAAGTATAGGAATCTCTGTGTACATAGAGGAGCTCAATTATAGTTGCTTTACTTGAGATATGAATAATAAAGTACTTGAAACTACCCAGCACAGTTCTTGACACCTGGTTTATGTCTACTTGGCAACCTAATGGAAACAGTTGGGTGTATCTAACTTCTTGAGTTGGGAATGACTTGGAAACTTTCCCAAGGTCAGAGGAGGCATTTTTAGAGGGATTACAAGGGAAGTAGTGCCACAGTGGGATCCAGGGATCTGATCCAGTGGCCTATCCAGAGGGCTGGTACTGGTACCCCTAGTTTCTACCTGAAAAATGGGACAGCATACATGTCTCCTTTCCAATCCTGTGGAGGAGGAATGAATCAAGCAGTAGAAACATTTAGCTTTGAGGTAAACAGAAGATGGTTCACAAAGTAAAACAAATATAAATGGCATCCCACATCTATTTCTATTCAGCACTCTTTCTTCATACACTTACGCATTTTCTCTTGCATTTCACACAGCCACCAAGGTTTGATCCTGGCACCTCCTGTGGTGTCCTGAGCTCCTCCAGGGTAAGTAGGAGCATTGTTGGACGTGGCCCCAAACAAACACAAAGTGATTGATGTGTCACTACTTTACATTGTTTAAAATTTTTAAATGATGATATTAAGTTTTATTACTATAAATGTTCTATTAAAAAGTTAATAAAGAGGCAATGGCTGACAATCATGTTTGGTCTATAGTCTACTTTTGGCATGCTTCTCCGATCCTGGGAAGATCCTCCCAACACCTTTTATTTGGTGCTCCCTTCTCTATCTGAGCTCCCTTTTCCCTTAGCATGTGTAGCTGGCCTCCAAGCCATGGAGTAAAATTCCTGATACTAATCTCGGCCATTCTTGGGTGTTAGTCTCCTATTTTGTTGCTTTATGTTCCCCAGATGAATGCAATCTTTCTATGTCTATCCCTCTCTTTCTGAGTCATTTCGCTTAACACGATACTTTCCATGTAGTACCACTAGTATGTAAACCACAACACCCAATAGGAGAGAGAGAACAAAAGGGAGTGCCCTGCCACAGAGGCAGGGTGGGATGGGGGGGGGGATGTGATTTGGGAGGGATACTGGGTTCCGTGTGGTGGGAAATGGGCACTGGTGGAGGGATAGGTATTTGATCATTGTATAATTGAAACCCAAGCACAAAAATTTGTAAGTCTACAACTGTACCTCATGGTGTCTCACTAATAAACATTTTAAAAAAAAGTTAATAAAGGGGCTAGAGTGATAGCACAGCAGGTAGGGTGTTTGCTTTTCACGCGGCTGACCCGGGTTTGATTTCCAGAATCCCATATGTTCCCCTGAGCACCGCTAGGAGTGACTCCTAAGTGCAGAGCCAGGAGTAGCCCTTGTGCATTGCTGGGTGTGACCCAAAATGCACCAAAAAAAACGTTAATAAATACTTGGTCCATAGAACTGTCCTATGTAGGAGAAAGGGAGGAGGATGGAAGGATTTCTTGGCAAATTGGTGGGAATAAGTTTCTACTCTGGTGGTGGGTGATGGAACAATATATCATTAACTGCATTGTAAATATGGTACTGCAGTGAAAATGGAAAACAATAATAAGACAACATAATTATGGGCTATAATTCTAGCTGGACATACAAAAAGGACTCTAATCCTATGGGAATAACCAAGTAACTTTTGTGTGCATCTTCTTTAAGGAAATTTGCTCATTCGCCTGACCAGAGGATGAAGACAACACTAGAGAACATCCTGGAATGATGCTGGGTCTTTGAAAGTATATTTGTGTGCCTGTGTGCCTGTGTGTGTGTGTGTGTGTGTGTGTGTGTGTGTTTATTTCAGAAAGTTCTCCAAAATACCTTATTGGATCTGCCTCATGTTACGTGAGGGAGAAATGAAATGCATTTATTCACATAAAGAGACACTGATAGCCCTTGAATGATGCCATCATGGGGAAGCACATCAACAATCACATATCAGGTGTCAAGGGCAGTGGTTTCTGCCTTAGGACTCATGGGCCTGGTTTATTTTATTCCGATCACCTGGCTTAAAGTAGGAAGTCTTAAATCATCCTTCCCTCATTGCTCCCCAAATCTCTTCTGTAAAAATCTAAACTCAGGGGATGGTTTAAGCAGAAAGGAGATTGTAGATGGAAAGTAATTTCCAGTGGTAACCGTGCAGAATGTTGATGATGATTGCAGTTCCATTGTTACAAACTAGAGGACACAGGAAATCCTTGATTCCAATCACCACATGCAGGCGACCAATGGGTCTCAACTATGCAGGGTTTCCTCTGTGTCTGCACAGACAGAAGGTCCCAGTGTGATTGGGTGATCTTACAAAACAGATGAAACAAATGGAAGTCTGGGATGGAATCAAGTCTCACCAGGGTTAGAAAACAGGAGGGAGATGAGCTGAGTTGGATGGTGAAGGGAATCGCTGTGAGGAGAATCAAGTGGGAGGCAGGACTCATGAATTATGACCTTCCTTCTTCCCCACTTTATTTGTTTATTGGCTTGTCCATACCTGTCTCTGCTCACAACTTACACCTGATCTGCAGTTAAGGGTCATTCCTAGATAGCTTGGGGGGTGCCATTTGGGTTTTCGGAGATCAAACACGAATCAGTTGAATGTAAGTCAAGCAGTTACTCACTGTAGTATATCTCGGTCTCTCCCCATTTTATTTCTCAAGATTTATTTATGTCCAACACCTGGCACCAACCTCATCATAGTGGTTCTTCTTGAAATGCATGATGGAGGCAGAGATTTCTAAAGGTCTGTACAATCAGTATGATTATTATATTTAAGATCAAAAGGAAGTTAGATCAGTAGTTTTGTACCCTTACCAGGTTGTTCATTTGAGCCCAGGGTGTGTGATTTGGTGAGCGCTGGTTGCCCATCATGCTTCACCTGGCAGGTGAAGGCCACGTTCTTCTGGTGGGCAGAATAGTTTACCAGGAGCCAGCTGGTCCGGTTAAAGGTCCCGTCCTTGTTCTCTAGGAGGAGGGAAGCCGTTTCTGCCCGGGACACGTTTCCATTCTCCAGCCAGGTCAGCTGTAGGTTCTGGGGGTAGAACTTCTTCACTTGGCAGGTGAGGTTCACCTGGTTGCCCACCGTGGGGAACTGGGAGACCTCCAGCGTGGGTGGAACTGAAAAAGCCCAGGGAGAAGCTCTGATCTCGGGGGGAGAGACAAGTCACAGGACCTAGGATTTAGTGCTTAAGTCCCAATACACAGCAGAGATTCACCCCAACATTCCCAGGCACACAGAGCTAGATAGGAGCTCACACTGGGAGAGCTCTTTGCACAAGAATGAAACCAATAGCACAGTATCTCACACAGAGTAGGCGTCAGGCACAGCTTCTACTAGGGAAGAAACAATTGGAATAAGCAAAGTCTCTTGCATGCAGTGTGAACATAATAATGTCACCAAAAAGTGAAATAAAGAATGCACACGGGGGTGGTTGATATTAGGTAATTAGGAATTTTAGTTGCTTTTCATAAAATAAATGAGATATTCTGTACAGTGTGCGAATACAGGTAGTTTTGCCATGGAAAGAGGCATGTTTGGTGGGCACATCTAGCATGCTGGCAATCAGGAAGGGTGGATAGGAATAGATTCCAGAACAGTAGAACAAAACTCAGGGGGCAGAAGCGGTCAAGGAAATGCAGGGGTTGGGGTGAGGGTGTCTACCTCGGATGATCTCAGACAAGTTGACCATTGCTCGGAGAGGAGGGCCCCCACGCAGGAAGACGTGGTTGACCTCACAGATGACCTGGGAGTGCACGTCCCTTGAGGTCAGTGGCACCCTGGCTGTGCTGGAGATGCTGTAGGAGGTGCTCTCCCTCTGTTGTTCCACAATAGTATGGAAGGCCAAGAGTGTGTTCCTATTTTTGAACCACTGCAGGCTGATGTTTCTGGGGAAAAAGCCATCGGACTTGCAGGTGAAGCTCACTGTGTGCCCGCGTGGGACCCTCTTTGTAGGGCCAAAGATCTCTGGATGAGAAGGTTTGGCTACAAAAGGAGCATTTAGACACAGTGAGCACAGGGAGAGTGTGCACTAAGGACAAACCAACCTCATCCTACTGGTTCTTCTTGGAATGCATGATGAAGGCAGAAATTTCTAAAAGTCTGTACAATCAGTATGAGTACAATATTTAACATCAAAAGAAAGCTAAGTCTGATGATTTAGATCAGTAGTTTTGTACCCTTACCAAGTTGTTCGTTTGAGCCCAGGGTGTGTGATATGGTGAGTGCTGGCTGCCCATCGTGCTCCACCTGGCATGTGAACACCACCTTCTCCAGGTGGGCAGAGGAGTTCACCAGGAGCCAGCTGGTATGGTTATAGGATGGGAATTAGACTCCAGAACAGCAGAACAAAACTCAGGGGTGGAGGAGCAGGAGATAAGAGGTGGGGGCTGGAGTGAGGATATCTACTTCAGATGGTCCCAGCCAAGCTGGCCATCCCACGGAGAGGAGAGCCCCTGGGAAGGGTGACGTGGGTGACCTCACAGATGACCTGGGAATGCACATTCCCCAAGGTCAGCGGCACCCTGGCTGTGCTGGAGTCACTAGGAGGTGTTCTCCAAATGGGGTCCACACTGGTCCGGGAGACCGAGAGTGCGTTTCCGTTATTGAACCACCACAGGCTGATTTTTCTCGGGGAGAAGTCATGGGACTTGCAGGTTAATCTCACTGTGTGCCTGGGTGGGGCCCTCATCCTGGTGCCTGAGACCTCAGTAACAGGTTTGGCTACAGAAGGAGCATTTGGACACAGTGAGTACAGGGAGAGTGTGGCACCTAGGACAACCACTGTTTTCAGCACATCCTGGCTTACAGGCAGTAACCTTCCTCATCTCACAGAGCTTGAGCACTTCCCAGTGGTCACTTCCCGGTGCATGCTTTTGTGGAGTGAGGAGGGAGCACTGCTGACAGAGGAGGACCCTGGCACTGTTCCTGTCGCCCAGTTATGGAACGTCTGTCCGTCCTCCCAGCTTCGTGCATCCTGTCAGTTCTCAGCAGTTTTCATCACACCCTTCATCTCTGCCGGACCCAAGCCCAATGCTACTAGGGCTACAAAACAATTCCTCGTTATAGACTGCAGAGTTGCACAGTCATAGTCAAGGGTCTCTGCCTTTACCCATGTTTCTGAAGCCGGGTTTTGAGCAGCCCAGGTTTCCAACTGGCCTCCACAACCTCGTCATGCCTCCAGCTCCCAAGGAACTCGCACTCTGTAGACTTGGCTGCAGGGAGCCAGCAAGGTGCAGACTACACTTCTCACCAAGTCTTCTGGGGTCCTGCCACCCCTCTCCCCTGGACTTCTTCCCTCTCCTTGTCCCCAGCCTCAACACTACAGCCATTTCTGCTCTCTCTGACCTCCCTGCACAGACACCAGACCCCCAAGTCCTGCCCTAGCTGTGAACCTGAACAGATACTCTCACTCCCTCACTCCACTCTCCATTCCTCTCTCCTTCCAACCCTCTGTTACTCTCTCCCTAGTTCCCTCCACTCTCCCTCCCTGCTTTCTCCCTCACCTCCACTTAGTCTCTCCCTCCCTCCTCCCTCCTTTCCTCTCTCCTTCCCTCCCTTTCATCTTCCCTCCAAAAAGAAAACAAAACAAAACAAAAAGGACCTTGGCCCCATGTGGAGTGACAGATCTGAGATCACACAGACAAGGAGGCAGAACAGGGACAAGAGCCCAGGCAGGCGGTTCTTCCAGGGTCTCCTCTGGGGCTCAGTGACTCTAGTGATACTTCCACAGAACACTGTACTGCTCTCTGCTTGTCACAGACTTAACTAAAGCCACCACTTCACTGACAGGGAAATGGAGGATTGCAGACACTGATATATCCACAGCTTTGGGATGACAGCATCACTGCTCATATTCTGTGGAGCAGCCCCCATTAAGAGGGTGCTACCATGGATTAAGAAAACAAAACAAACACTGTCCTCCCGTTGTTCATCGATTTGCTCGAGCGGGCCCAGTAACATCTCCATTGTGAGACTTCTTGTTACTGTGTTTGGCATACTGAATATTCTCCGTAGCTTGCCAGGCTCTCTGGATTAAGAAACAAGACAGAAATGAGCGTGGAGTGGGGTCACAGGGATAACATCCTTTGGACTCTAGCCTCATTGGTACTCTGCAGATCGCATTTATTGCTTTACACCAAGAAACCAGAACTGGGGGTTTAGCATAGGGATAGGATTTTTTATTACAAGCACAACTGCTCTCAGAAGACCTACTCTAATCCAAGCTAGTTCTAAGCTAAACTTCATACCTTAGGCAGCTCAGGGTAAATACCTTTCTTGTAAGCTCTTTCTATGGGTTTGTTTCTCATACCAAGGCAGTCAGGCCAAGATGGAGTACATACAGGACCATGCCTCAATGCTGTTTCATGTAAGTTGGCACCAGCGTTCTCATCACACGGTCCTGTTTTACTGGCCCCCAAGTCTCCTTCCTCATCCTGTCTAACTTAACCCTTAGTTCCCAATACTCATCTGTTCTCTCACCAGGCTTATTGAATCTCACACCTTCCCACAAGGTTGGTGGATTAATCATCTTCTGTGTGTAAGGAGACTGATGTGCAAAAGGAAGCTGATTCACAGAACCTTTGTCGAGCCCCTGGTTTGGTGGACTACTCAGTGCTCCTGGGAAATGGCATCTCAGATCCTTTCAACTCTCCTAAAAGGAGTCAATTATTATTGCCATTTTGGAGATGAAAAGACTAAGTACTCTAAACATTGTCTCATGACTTCCCATCGTTTTATCAGTCACCTTGTCACCTGACTGAGGAATTTTACCTGGCTCAGACTTTCCAGGGTTACCTACTCTGCTCAGAGCTTTCAATGACTGAGTGATCTTTCTCTGAACCATTGGAGAGTTTCCTGACAACCCTCCTGAAATTGAGAAGTCCTGGTGACTGTCAGACTGTCAGACTGAACAGAGCATGTGCCTCTTATCACCTTTTGTCACTAATGTTTCTCAAAAAGAATCAAATGCAGCCCGATTGCTGGAACCTGTTAGAAGGAATAGGATTCAGTGATTTTGGAGAAAAGTCTTTGGTCATTGTGATGACCCCTGTTTCCGCTATGCCCAGAGCAGAGCTGGGTACACAGTGGGTACTGAGGAAAGAGAAGATGCTCCACATTGAGAACAGTCCTCAGAGTGTTCCCCTAAGGTGCCATCTTCAGAACTCAGTGACTTCAACATCTTTGATCTCTAAGGCAGGTGAAGTGGACTGTGAAGCAGATCCAAGGACAAGCACCAGCTCCTCACCTGGTCTTAGTTCTTGCTCTCAGAAGTGAGGTTGGCCTGACTGACTATGGCCACCCAGCAGGACAACGGACCCCCTGCCCCCTCAGAGCACTCACCACTCACGGTGACCCAGGTGCCTGGCCCAGACTTGAACTCCACACTTTCCACATTCCCCATCCGGAACTTCACACAGTAGTAGGTGCCTGTGTCAGCTGGGCTGATGTCACAAATGCGAATGGAAAAGTCCAGGTTGTCTCTCTTGGTGGTATCTGAAACATTGGTCACTCGGGAGCTGTGGACTTTGCTTGCAAAGCTATAGATATCCTCCCGGACACCCAGTATCTCCCGGACCCACTTGACAGGGCCCACAGGAAACAGGGAGGTCAGGGAGCAGCGCAGAATGACTGTCTCTCCCACAGCCACCGACATGAACTTGTCAGGTTGGATCACTTGCAGTTCCACATCCTTCCCGGCCACTCCTGAGGGAAACACAAGCAGCTCTTCACTCATCCTTGTTACTAACAAGGTAGGTTTCCCCACTCTCTGTCAGCAACCTACACCAGTGACTGAATATTCATCAAGATGAGTTCAGCACATGGTGTGAATCTTATGTTGCCCCACCATCAACCTCCAAAGTGTGAATGGTATGCAAAAAGGAGGAATCTAGGAACCAGAAGCTTAAGGACATGGCATAGAGGGTAGTTTAGTTGCTTTCCCTGGATTGTCTGGAATTAGCAACTCTCTGGTTCTTCCCTCCGAAAGTGTTGGACCTTTTGTCCTTTGTATTATGAGGAGCTATAAGACTTTTCTGACTAATGAGTGTAAGCAGAGGGACAGTGGTGCCAGTGGGATATCCCTGATCTATCAGTGCCTCAGTAAATCCATCCTTGTCTTCCCCAGATGCTCCTGGTGGTTTCTGCCCCTCACCCAAAGTACTGAGAGGAAGGTGCAAATCCCAATGTATACATGGAAGTTTCTTGGGAGCTGAACATGGTATCATGTCCCTGAGATTTATACTGTTTTAATTGCTTGATCATTATATATTGGTTTCATTAGTCTGCTGTGATAATTATCAAAAGCTTATTGTCTTAGAGCAATATAATATTTCCTCAACAGATGAATGAACGAACAAAATCTAGTATGTGTAGAAAATGAAATATTTGCAACCCTACTCATTAATGCAATTCTGATCCAGCCTATAAGACAAATGAACCTTAAATAAATATCATGTTAAATGAAATTAATCAAACGTAAAAGAGAAGTATTTCCCCACATATATAATGTACCTAAAATGGGCTCATTTATAGAGGAAAAAACACCTTGGAACTCAGGGAGCAGGAAGATAGGAGGATCTATTTGGGGTACACAATTTTTGCTTAGGTTGTTGGAAAGTCCTAAAAATGTGTGGTGCTGATGATTTCACCATTGTGAATGTGCTCTATTGCTACCAACTTTTATACTTTTAACAGGCTGGTTCATTTTATGTATAATTAACATAATAATAAGTGCATATTAGAACAAGGTCATTAGTCTTTGATTTGAACTAAATGACTTAAGGAAAAAATATAACATATATGATACTGAGGAAGGTGTATTTCTTATAGATAGATATTTGAATGTGGAAAGAGATCAGGGGTACGAGAGAACAAGAAGCAGCAAGGTTCAAATTTGTGTTCTTAAAAGAACGGAGCTGTTAGTTTTGCTTGGACAAAATGAGTTATGATTTGAGAGACCGTGAGTAACTCCATGATTTTTACTACCAAATGAAGGACTTTCCAGTTGTATTGCCTCTCCAAAGACTAGGAATGTTCTGGAATCATATGGAAATACTAAAAGGATCCTCTGATTTGAAGTGTCTCATTGTTCTGGTAGCAGATCTGCTTCAGAGGATCAGCCTTAGTCGGACCAAGAGTAAACCCCATGTTGTGAAGCCCTACTCCCCTCCTACAATACTTAGCCTTGCTTAGCATCAGCAGAAACATTTTGGAAAAGCACAGCTTTTGCCAGTAACTGTCAGTTGAGCCGGATACACCCATTTATGGGGATCAGTTGAAAAAGTAGAATGACCCTTGTATGAAGTCAGAGAAGATAACCAACAAACCAATCAAGGAACAGGTCGCCAGGGAGTGGCACAAGATGGTCAGGATTGCCCCTTGAGTTTTTGAAAAAGGTGGGGAGTTGCTCTCCTACTAGAGGGGACAGCCCTGACCAGTCAGCTTTCTAAATTTCATACTTGTTTGACTTGTGCCAGATAAAATCTTATTCTGCACAGCTCATTACTTTGTGTGGTCTCTCAGACAATGGAACCTAACAATGTTCTTTTTCTTTTTCTTTGTACTCAACAGGATAGAGTTGTGGTTTCCCTTTTGCATGTGTGAGCTGGTACAGTGCACCCACTCAGCACCTGTGTAACTAGCCTGGCTCCTAAGGAGGAGCTGCTCTCACAGGGCACACCAGGCTTGTTACTGTGGTCAGGGCCTTGGGTGGTTTGAGTTTTAAATCAGGGGAAGAGGATTGGGAACTGCAGAGATAGTACAGGGTTCTGGGCCCTCTGCTAACTATGATTCAATGCCCTGGCACTGCATATGGTGCCCTTAGCCCCCACTCCCCCAGGAGTGATTCCTGAGCACAGAGCCTGGACATCATCAGAGGTGGCCCCAAGCCCAAAACTTTAAACAAAATTAAGAGACGATGATTGGAAAATGAGAAACTGTGTGATAAGAATACCTGTTTATGTGACAAAGTGGAAATAATTATGACTGAATCTTGAAGAAATGAGTGAACTGAATAGTAGAGAGAGGGAAGAAGAAAAACCAGAAGTTTGACAGAAACCAGGAAATAGAGAAACTCTGCCCTCTGTGGATCCATAATTCCCACATTCACACTCTAGGCCAGAACGTTCCTTCAGACTCTGGACTTTTTGTACAATTCTCCCAGTTGGAAGTAAACAACACACAGTTAACATCCCGGACCTGAATTCCTAATTTCCTCCCAATCCCTCACTATCAGCTTGATTCTCTCAGATCTCAGATCCCAAGCTCTTAGGTTTTTCTCTCCCACTCCAGAAGTGTGCACCAGGAAATTCTGTTGATTTCTCATCTGCTCATGTCCCAGAGCTGAGTTCTTGACTTTATCTGTACTAACTATTGACTTGTCGCAGTCAACTCGTTTTATGTGAATGAACTCAGTGACTTGTGAAATTCTCTAGTTGTTTCTATCTCTGTTATCTAGCCCATTCTCAACTACATGTGGAATCATTTCATGTTCATCATGGAGCAAGTGGCTTCCATCCTCATCACCTTTCAATACCAAACCCATTTTTTTGACACAAGATCAGAGAAAAATTAAACCCTTGAGCATAAAAGGAAGAATATTTTCTCAGGCTTCTTGTAGACATTTTCCCTTTCACTTTCCCCCCAGAAATCCTCATGGGCCACCCTGCACTGTTTTCTAAGCTTTGCTCAAATTTCCCTTTTTTTTGTCATCTCCATCACACTGCTACTTAAAACACATCTCATCCTTCATTTTTCCCAAATACTTTGTCTGGAGTATTTTCTAATTTTTAATTCACAAAACACACTTTCTTATATACAAAAGTATCTATTATGTCTATTTTACTGTCATTTCCCCCAAATACTACCAAATACTAAGCATTATAAGAACTTTTTGTCTCTATATTTGTCAGTACACCCCAATTTCTTTAACAATTTCTGACACATATTGTGAGATCAATAAATAAGTTTTTGTCTACAAATGTGAACAATGTGACACTTCCTTGATCCTTGGGTTTTATTTTTAGTGATAATTTCAGTGGACATTGCACAAGAAACTGTTTGCTAAGTAGATGAGTTCATATAAAACAAAAACTACTTACATATGTACAGAACAAAGAGGTCACAAGGGATAGACACCCACGAGCTCTCTTCCCTACTCTTCACATCCTTTGGTAGCAGTTATAGAGATAATATGGTCTGAAAGTATTTGTGTAGATTGATTAGAGCGGGGAGAAAGGGCTGCAAAGTTCAAAAAGAGAACTCCCAGAATGACCACCAACTGGGAACTCTTTGGTACTATTGCGGCAACATGGGAAGATGCCATTGTTGACAACATTGACGAGGAATACGATCGACTGGTTCAGCACCTCCATGAATGTGCGAGGAACGCCAAGAGAGAGATAGCCACAAAAAATCGCCTATCTTCGAAAACTCTTGAGCTAATTCGCCAGCGTGGTTTGGCGCATGCCTCAGGCAACCGCAAGCTAACATCCGAGCTCGCAAAGCAGTGCAGAGATGCGATCAAGGAAGACCTCAAAGAGAGAAGAGCAGAAGTACTGGTAGATGTGGCAGAAGCCGGGAAAAGTATTCGTAAGGCCCGCCTGTCCTTTGCCAACTATAAGACCAAGATGACTGCCCTCCGACGTCCTGATGGATCCATCACATCCTCCAGAACGGCAATGGAGAAGATTATCCATGACTTCTACTCAAATCTCTTCGATAGCCATGTCCACTTGCCGACATACCAAATTCCACAGGATGGATATGTCGTTCCCAACGTTCTCCCTTCCGAAATCCGACACGCCATTTCGTCAGTAAAGAAACAAACAGCACCCGGCCCAGACAAGGTCAGACCTGAACACCTGAAGAACCTGCCGTCAGTACTCATCAATACACTGGCTCGGCTCTTTACTCGCTACCTGTCTGAATGCAAGGTTCCGTCCCAATGGAAAACCAGCAGGACCGTACTACTGTTCAAGAAGGGAGACATCCATGACATTGGCAACTATTGCCCGATCTGCCTATTGTCTGTCATCTACAAGTTGTTCACTCGAGTCATCCTAAATAGGATTGGCAGAACACTAGATGAAGGACAACCATGCGAGCAAGCAGGGTTCCGCAAAGGATTCAGCACCATCGACCATATCCACACGATAACCAAGCTCATTGAGGTTTCTCGGGAGTTCAAGATGCCGCTCTGTTTAACGTTCATTGATTTAAAGAAGGCCTTTGATTCTGTTGAGACGGAAGCGGTCATTGAAGCCCTAGCCAATCAGGGCATTCAAGCCCAATACATCAGGATCCTCCGTGAGCTCTATTGCGGATTCACTACCAGGATCTCACCATTCTACAAAGAAGTGATCGTTGATGTCAAGAGAGGGGTGCGGCAGGGTGATACCATTTCACCGAAACTCTTCAGTGCCACCCTCGAGAACATCATGCGACGACTGGAATGGGAAGGAATGGGAGTGAAGATAGATGGTCGGCAACTACACCACCTCCGCTTTGCTGATGACATTGTTTTAATAACACCAAACATCAGCCAAGCGGCACAAATGCTGGCGGACTTTGACCGTGAGTGTGGAAAGGTAGGACTACAGCTGAATCTTACGAAGACAATGTTTATGAGAAACAGCCTTGTTCCTGACGACCCATTCGCTCTCAATGGAACGACCATCTCCGAACGCAACAGCTATGTGTACCTAGGTTGAGAGGTCAACATGACAAATGACCTGG